CACAGTCAGAGGAAGAGATGTAAGAGCTGAGGACCTTAAACTGGGAAAGGAACTGTTCTAGTTCACCTTTGTCCTCAATGGCTTCTAAGCCTACAGCTCAATAGTATTATAAGCAAAACTTCACTATCCGTGATAATTCAGAAATCTGTTTGTTATTTGAAGTAGCACAGAAGATGAGGGTCATTCATAGAACCTCAGCAATTGTGTTTTCATCATTAAATTGATTGGATTGGGAGCCATCTTATATGTAGAATTTCAGTTCCAGAGAACCAGCTGGGTTCTTCCTACCAGAAGACATAGACTTCACTAAATAGCTGCCTGAAGAAAGGCTTTAGGTGAGAGCATCATTCTGCCTGTCAGTCAAGAAGGTACAACAACCAACAGCGTTGGAAGCTTCAGAGGAGAAGGGTGCAAAACTCCATTGATAGAAGAGAGTACAGAATATTTCACATTAATGTCACCTAAGAGATTTCATCTTATTATTGCAAGCTCTACTTGACTTAGAAGAAATGTCTCTTATGGCCAATGTGTTTTACTTCAGTAACTAACAGAGTTGGAAGGGATCTTGGAGGTCATCTATCCAACCTCATGCAGGAGACCTGTACTAGGGATTCGAACCGCCGAACTGCTGATCTTTCTGATCGACAAACTCAGCCTCTTAGCCACCGAGCCACCTAGTCAGGCACTTCTACCAATAGAAGAACTGAAAACCACTTCTGGTAAGTTAAAAGAGTTCCTGCATGGATCTCTCAATTTGTGTGTTTTTGAGCTCTCCATATTTTGTTGAATGTACATTACTTAGATAATACTTTGTTTGACCAAGTGTGATTAGACAAAAGGAATTTATGTGAGCAACAGTGGCATGGTGCTTAGAGTGCAGTACTGCAGGCTACTTCTGCTGACTGCCGGCTGCCTGCAATTTGGCAGTTCAAATCTCACCAGGCTCAAGGTTGACTCAGCCTTCCATCCTTCCGAGGGGGGTACAATCAGGACCCAGACTGTTGGAGGCAATAGGCTGACTCTGTAAACTGCTTAGAGAAGACTGCAAAGCACTGTGAAACGGTATATAAGTAAGTGCTATTGCTATTGCTCTCAGTGTGTTGATATACTGTGTCTTTCTATCCTTTATATAAACAGAAGTATCTCCATATACTTTTATATAAAGGCGTTCGTGTTAGAGTTTTAATATTATAGACAGTCTTTGAGATGAAATATGGAAAGGAATATGAGCCAACCGTGTGCAGCACCTGCTAAAAAATCCTACACATCAACAGAAGGATAGAATCAAGATCACATGAAGTGTTAATACCACTTTATAGTCCCTTGGTAAGGACACACTTGGAATACTACATTCAGTTGTGGTCACCACAAGGTAAAAAAAAATGTTGAGGCTCTACAAAGAGTGCAGAGAAGAGCAACAAAGATGATTAGGGGACTTGAGGATAAAACATATAAAGAACGGTTGCTGGAACGGGATATGTCTATTCTTATGAAAAGTAGTACTAGGGGTGACATGACAGCAGTCTCCCAATATCTCAGGGGCTGCCACAAAGAAGAAGGAGCTAAAGCACCTAAGGGTAGGTGCAATAGAAGCAATGGGTGGAAACTAATCAAGGAGAGAAGCAACTTAGAACTAAGGAGAAATTTCCTGACAGTTAGAAGAATTAACCAGTGGAACAACTTGCCTCCAGAAGTTGTGAATGCTCCAACACTGGCAGTTTTTAAGAAGAGATTGGATAACCATTTGTCTGAACTGGTGTAGGGTTTCCTGCCTAAGCAGGGGGTTGGACTAGAAGACCTCCAAGGTCCCTCCCAACTCTGTTATCCTGTTTTTTCTGAATATCACATAACAGCAGCAATGCCAGCAAGTTCTTGTTTTATTAAAAACCACACATGCATCCAGGGCATTGAAAAGCAATGATTCAAGCAAAATATCTTTTTTCTACAGAGTCACATTCTGAAGGACAGGTGACTATCATTACCCAGGTTGTGCTCCTGGGGGGAAGGCATTTCAATGTTGGTGCATTTCTTTCTTTTTTTTTTTTCTTTTTAAAATAATTTTTATTAGAGTATAAATATTAAAAAAAAACATAACATTACATACACACAAGAAACATTTATACAACATATAAACAAAAGAAATTTTGTTTCCTTCTTAAGCATTGTTTCAAAGTGACCTTCTGCTTGTTATATATTTCTTCACCTCTCCTTAATATAATAACATTTTCTATATCGGTAATATTTCCCCTCTAGGTTTTTTGTTTATTTCTAGTTTTTAACCAATTATACCATTTATTCCATATTTTATAGTAATCTGATTCTTCTCTTTCTTGTATTTCTTTGGTTAACCTATCCATTTCAGCGCATTCTAAAAAATTTTCTATTAATTCTGTTTCGTTTGGCATTTTTTCTTGTTTCCAATTTTTTGCGTATATTATTCTTGCAGCTGTTAGTATGTGAATTGTGAGATATTTAATATCTTTAGGGTATGATTTATTAAAAATTCCTAATAAAAATGTTTCTGGTTCTTTGTCTATCTGTGTTTCTGTTATTTGTTCCAACCATTTTTTAATATTAGACCAAAATTTCTTTGCTGCCAGGCATGTCCACCATAGATGATAGAAGGTTCCTTGTGTCTTCTTACACTTCCAGCAGATCGGACTATTTTTAGGTTGTATTTTTGCCAGTCTAGGTGGAAACATGTGCCACCTATAAAACATTTTCAGTTGGTTTTCCATGTACACCACTGCTCTTGTTAATTTTATGTTTACTTGCCAAAACTTTCCCCATTTATCCAAGTTGATTGTATGTTTGATGTTTTGAGCCCATTTAATCATAGTTTCCTTGACTGTCTCTTCTTCCATTTTGTAGGGTAAAAGAAATTTGTAAATTCTACTACTTAGTTTATTTTCTGAATCTAGTATAATTTTATCTGTTTCTTGTTTTTGTTTATGAATTTCATATATTTTTATATGTTCTCTATATTTAGACTGTATTTGGTTGTACGTCCACCAATCTATTTCCCTTTCTATGTCTGTCTCCACTTGTTGTTTTGTCTTCAGTTTACCTTGATAGTCAATTAAATCTTTATATCTAATTATTTTTGTCTTATCTGTTCAATTTGGGTGTCTAATTGATTCTACTGGTGATAGCCAATTTGGTATTTTCATATAGTGTTGTTTTTTGATTTTGAGCCAAATTTGTAATAATGAGTTTCTTATTGTGTGTCTTTTAAAGTATGAATGTGTTTTGTATCTTTCGTCCCACATAAAGGAGTGCCAACCAATTTGAAGTTCGTGTCCCTCAATTGTTAAGGTTCTAAGATTTTGTAATTCTATCCAGTCTTTGACCCAGGACAGTACTGCTGCTTGATAATATGTCTCCCAATCTGGGAGTGCAGCTCCTCCTCTGTCTTTGTATCCTGAAGCAGCTTAAATTTTATTCGTGGCTTTTTCCCTTGCCATATAAATTTAGATGTCATTTTATTCAAATTTTCAAAGAACGATTTGTCTATTTTTATTGGGGTAACCTGAAACAGATGTAGAAATTTAGGCACTATAGTCATTTTAATGGCCGAAATTCTTCCTAAAAATGAGATATGTAAGTTTTTCTATTTTTCTAAATCCTTCTTTGTTTGTTCTATTAGCTTGTCATAATTATTTTCTTTTATTGCTGAAGTTCTGTGGATAGCCAGATTCCTAAGTATTTTATTTTTTTCATTGTTTGGATTTGTATACTATCTGTTAATTCTTTTTCTTGATTTTTCGTAAGGTTTTTTACAATTAATTTTGATTTGCTTTTATTCATTTTCAGTCCAGCCACGTCTCCAAATTCTTCTATTTTTTGAAACAGATTTGGTATAGATTCCATGGGGTTTTCTGTTATAAACACTAGGTCATCAGCAAAGGTCTGGACTTGGTATTCTTCTTTATTAATTTTTAAACCTTCAATTCCTTGATCTTCTCTAATTTTTTTCAGAAGTATTTCCAAAGATAGTATGTACAATAAAGGTGAGAGTGGGCAGCCTTGTCTGACTCCTTTTGTTATATTAAATTTATCTGTTATGTCGTCATTCATAATTATCCTTGCTGTTTGATTAGTATAAATTTCTTCTATAATTTTCCCAAATTTTTCCCCAATTTGCATATTTTGTAGTTGTCTAATCATTAATTTCCAGTTTTGGTTATCGAAAGCTTTTTGGGCGTCAAGGAAAACCAACGAAGCCTGTTTTTTCCGGATGTGATTCATAGTATTCTAGAATGTTAAGTATTATTCTCATGTTATTTTTTATTTGGCATCCCGGCAAAAATCCATTTTGGTCTGCATGTATGTATGTATTTAGTACTAATTTAATTCGCTCTGCCAGAATTGCTGCAAATATTTTGTAATCAGTGTTCAGTAATGAGATAGGTCTATAGTTTTGAATTTGCTGGAGATTTGTATCTTCTTTTGGTATGATTGCGATTATTGCTTCTGTCCATGTCTTGGGAATTTTAGCTTTCTCCATGACTTCATTGTATAACTTCAACATATTTTCTCCCAGTTGGTGCATTTCTATGAGAAGAAGCCTGATGGAGTAGACCCCAGTCTCTTGGCTTCAGGAGGCTGTTTCTGGCACTCTTTGGTGAGAGGTCTGGTGAGAGAACTTGGGACTCAAGAGAAGATGGTAAAATGGCACAGCAGCACTGTTATTAACATCAAGCTGTCTGCGATTACTATAAGTTTAAATCTCACCAGGCTCAAGGTTGACTCAGGCTCCCATCCTTTCTAAGGTATGTAAAATGAGGACGCGGTTTGTGGGGGCAAAAACCTGACTTTGTATAAATATACAAAAGTATGAAGGCTATTGCTTAACGCATTGTAAGCAGCCCTGAGTCTCCGGAGAAGGGCGGCATATAAATCAAATTAAAATAAATAAAAATAAAATAATGTATATATATTTAACGGTACCAATCTGCAGTGAGTTTTTTCTTGGCTTGATTTTTCTCCATTAGCAAATTCATGATGGGAACTAGGACTCAGAATAGCACAACACAAGTGACCGAGTTCATCCTCATTGGCTTCCAACTACCTAGGGCCATGGAACTCTTCCTTTTTTCATTGCTCCTGGTTGTGTTGTTTTTCACTTTGGCTGGGAACCTCATGATTATCACTCTGGTATGCGTGGACCAACGTTTGCAAACCCCCATGTATTTCTTCCTCTGCAACCTCTCCTTTCTGGAGGTATTTTTCGTTCTGTCAATCACACCGAAGATGTTGACCAATCTAGTTTCTATGAACAAATCAATCTCTTTCTTGGGCTGCGTCATTCAGTGCTACTCTTATTTCTTCTTTGGTACCTGTGAGATCATCATCATTGCCGTGATGGCCTTTGACCGCTACATTGCTATCTGCCATCCATTGCGCTACACCATCATCATGAATGGGCGGATCTGTGTGAGTCTTGTGTTGGGCTACTGGATTGCTTCTTTTATGAGTAGTTTTTTGCCAATTTTTCTCCTGGGGCAGCTGTCCTTCTGCAGCTCTAACGTGATCGATCATTTCTTCTGCGACTATGCTCCACTGATCCAGCTTTCTTGCAATGATGTAGATACTCTCCTGAGGCTGGAATCTAGCCTCTCTGCTCTGATGTTACTCAGCTCTTTGTGTGTAACTGTTGTCTCTTACGTCTACATAATTGTGACTATCTTGAGGATGAAGACCAGTGGCAGTCGTAAGAAGACTTTTTCAACCTGTGCCTCTCACCTCACGGTCGCTTCCATCTTCTACGGCAGTGCCATCTTCATGTACTCTTTGCCCAGCAAGGGTCGGTCTCGGGATGCCCAGAAAGCTGTGGCAGTTCTTACTGCTGTGGTTACCCCATTACTGAACCCTTTTATTTACACTTTGAGGAATGAGAAAGTCAAGGATGCTTTCCGAGACTGTTTGCAGAGGCACAAACGTATTTTGTGAGGAGAAATCATTGGAAGGACGTTGCCAACCTTGGCTGATCTCATACAAATGTAAACAGACTTGGATTTTATTAATACACTAGCTGATAACCTGACATTGCCTGGGTATTTATTTATCCCAATCCTGTATTAGACAGGACAAGCAACTTAATCCTGAGCCCTGATTTCAGCAAGAATTAAATTAGTTAAAAATGTTTTCCCTGTGCCCCCAAAGCATCTAGTAAAATGATTCCATCTTGTTGTTTTGCTAGCTGATCCATGATCATTTGGTAGGCTTTTTTCTGATATTGATTTAGAAGTCGCTCCTTGTCCATGATATACTGTTTGCACTAAGCTGTTCGACATTGTAGTTCTTTTCTCGTATGTAATCTGTGTGAAGTACGTCATCTCGGTCTCGTAGTGGTGCAAGCAGGCCGAGTTGCAGTAATGTTTTACTGATCATGGCCATACATTTGTCCTCAAAAATAATTGAAGCCTTGTTGAAAATGTCTGGACCAAAAGTAATTTGTGATGTTGGAGTTTCCCCCTTACCAGAGGGAGCCCCCTTGTGGAGTACTGTGAAGCTGTTACCATCGCAACTCCACTATGCTGCACAGTAGAAGCCATTTGAAGGTACAACAGGCTGTATTTTAACAGAATATGCACCCTAAGGGGTTTTAAGAGTGTCTTACCCCTACAGTATTTGTTTCCAGAGAGCAAGTCATCTGTGTACCAAGTTTGGTTGAAATTGCCCGAGGCGTTCCACAGTTATGCTGGAACATACACACACACAGCCATTTTTATATATATAGATGGATGAGACAACTATCATCTATTGCTATAGTGATGGACACATGACATGGGCTTTATAATTTGTTAGTTAACATAGTTTTAATTTGACTTATTTTCTATGTTCAAGTTCATTACAGACTGGAATGTGGGAAAATTTTTATCATATGGTTGTATGGATTGATTAGATAGCTTTTAAAATTACTAAAATGAAATGATAATTTACAGAAGGATGTCTAGTGATTTATCTCCTGATACGAAAAAGATTCTTAGGATCAACTGGCATCTGGTTATCTAACTTCAAACAAGCTTTGTACTTAATTTACTGTGCAAGGAGAGATTACTCTTATGTTGTCTGACCAATTTTCCCCTTTCATTTTTCTTTGTTGTGTTAACCATAAAAAAGGAATGTAAGATGGGTCTCAAGGTTCTCCTTTTCCTAGGGAGATCCCACTTTATCAGGGTATCCTAATAAAGTTCTTTGAAATGATCTTCCCACTCGGTTCCTTATTGGGAAGGTAAACCAAGGCAAAACCTAGGGCCAGATCTGCCTGTCACTAGTCTAAATTGGGATTTCAAAAAATACATTCTAGAACAACAGGGCCTTCTGTAGAGGAACAGCATGGGCAATGGCCACAATTACATCAGAATTAAATTTTGTCAGAGTATGGTTTTCATGTTATGATGGATAGTTCTGGGTTTGGAAAGAATCTATGTACACTTTTATGTTGCAAAACTGTTGCCTTTCTTTCTCTATTTCAAATCCTGATCTTGACTGAGGATTAGCACTGAAATTCTCCTCTATTGGGACTACAATTCTTGTTTGACTGTTTGCATTTAATGCTTTATGATGAGTGTATTTTTACAATGATTATGATAATGATCTAGTACTATTGTTGTATGTACAGTACACTGAAAGCTTATGCACCGGAGACAAATTCCTTGTGTTTCTATTCACACTTGCCAATAAAGAATTCCATTCCATTCCATTCCATTCCACTCCACTCCACTCCACTCCACTCCACTCCACTCCACTCCACTCCACTCTACTCTACCCTACTCTACCTTATCCTACCTACCCTACCCTTATTCTATTTTATTTTATTTTATTAATTTTATTTCAAATTTATATACCACACCTTCTCCCGAGGGACTCAGGACGGTGTACAGCCAGATAAAAAACCTACAATACAAACATTAAAAACAATTAAAAGAATATATATTAATTTGACCCCAGTTTAAAATGACAAACCAATTAAAATATTTAAAAATATGTTAAGCCAGCCCGGCTTGCTGAAAAAAGAAAGTTTTAAGGGCACGGCAGAAGGCACCGAGGTCTTGGATTCTCCTTATCTCTGGGGGCAGCTGGTTCCAGAGGGTAGGTGCCCACACAGAGAAGGCCCTCCCCCTGGGGGTCACCAGCCTACATTGTTTGGCTGATGGCACACCGAGGAGGCCCTCTCTGTGGGAGCGCACAGGTCGATGGGAGGTTGTCGGTAGCAGCAGGCGGTCTCGAAGGTAACTAGGCTATTCTATTCTATTCTATTCTATTCTATTCTATTCTATTCTATTCTATTCTATTCTATCCTCTTTTTAGGCAAGATGAAACATTGGTCCTCTTAAATCCCAGTTTTGAGGTTTCAGCATCTACTCAGTTTTGTCCAGGTTCAAAAGCTTGTTCTAGTACTAATCAATACAAGGCCAGTAAATATGTGCTAGACTGGGAGGTTAAACTGAATTCTTAAGGACACACATGGCCACCCAATGTTTTGGGGTTCTCTCCTGGATCTTGTCCAGAAGTCCACCAAATACATAATCCAAGGCTGTCAAACTTGCGGCCTGTGGGCCAGATATGCTAGGGAGTGCTAATCGAGTTACTTTGAATGTTCACTAAGAAAATGCTCATAAGCCAGGGATTACCTGTAATACCAATCAGTTCTCTCTCAATCAATTTCAAGCAGAAAAGTAGAAGCACACATTTGCAAAACTCATGGAAAATGGTGGAAATCAAGTGGACTTGGCCGTTTCTAATTCCATTAGCCAGTGGATTCAGAGAGCAGATATCTGAGGAAGAATTGCAAACATCACAAAACGTGACCAGAACTTGAAAGTTTGGATGAAATGGATTATCTGGACGCTTTTCAATCCAGCTTCAGACCTGGCTACAGCATGGAAACTGCCTTGGTCACGCTGATGGATGATTTCTGGCGAGCCGAAGACAGGGGTCATTCCTCTATCTTGGTGCTACTTGACCTTTCAGCTGCTTTCGATACCATCGATCATGGTATCCTTCTGGGGCGACTAAGAGAGCTGGGAGTGGGAGGCACCGTGTTGCGGTGGTTCACCTCCTATCTCTCTGGTCGATCACAGTCGGTGCTGGTAGGAGGACAGAGGTCGTCCCCTAGGCCCCTCGTCTGCGGGGTGCCTCAGGGCTCAGTCCTCTCTCCCCTCCTACTTAACATCTACATGAAACCACTGGGAGAAATCATCCGATGACACGAGGTAGTGTCAACATCCAATGATGGACATTGCACAAGAAGAAGATCCTGTCTTTTTTTTTATTAAAAAGTTTTTTATTTATAATACAATTAAAAACATTGGACATGGTGCGACTTTTTTGGTTTGAACATTTCCATCAAGTTTTACCTTACGACAAATACAGTTCATTTTCACTATGTTAATATATACAATCTAACACAATTCAAACATATGGATTCTTTCATCTCTGAAAATTACAATACCAATACCATTCCTATTTGTCACAGAAAACTAACACGAAAATTTTTAAACTTTTGACTTATCAATAATCCTTTGTCCTGACGTTCCTCCTCCTCTCCAACCAATAATACAGTTTATTCCAGATTTCATAATAGTCCGTATCACACTTATCTTTGAGTTCTAGAATCAACCTGTCCATTTCAGCACAAGTCAGTATCTTGTTTATACCTCTCATTCTGAGGGGATCTCTTTATTTTTCCAGTTTTGTGTGAAGGCCAATCTTGCTGCCATTAAAATATGTAACATTAAATATATTGTTCCCTTGTTATATTTGTCCTTTATAATACCAAAAGAAAAAGTTCTGGTTTTAACTCTATATTTTGAGTTAACATCTCTTCCAGCCATCATTTTATCTGGCGCCAAAAATCTCTAGCTTTCGGGCACTCCCACCACATATGACAAAAAGTCCTTAGCTTTGTCTTGCATTTCCAACACATCGGTGAGAAGTTTTTGCTCATTTTAGATAATCTTGTGGGTGAGAGGTGCCACCTATAGAACTTCTTGTATATATTTTCTTTATACGTGGTGGCTAAAGTATGTTTTCTGTTAAGAAGATCCTGTCTTGAATGGTATTCTGCCTGCAGTATTTGCTTTGCCTATGAATAGAGCTATCTCTTTATCTCTTAAGTGCTGACATCTGCTGTGGGCTACTAAGGAAAATTGGGGTTGCTTTCTGTCTCAAAGAGAATGTTTCTCCATTCCTTCTTTAGGGAAATATAATATTTTGCCTTTTTAATATTCCTCAGAATATTTCATTCTTCTAGGAGAGGGCTGTAACTTTCTACAATATGCACTGCAAGCTAGGAAAATCAGGCCTAATATCATTAAAGTTTTGATGCCACCAGAATGAATAAATATATTTACAAACTTTACTCTCTGGGGAACCCATTAACAAATGTCTCCAAGGAAGTAACTCAACTTATACTTTTTAAATTCCAATTTATTTAACTGATTGTCAAGAGGGATATTTCTGCATAGCTAGGAGTTAATCATCTGCTAAGTTCATTTTGGGAGAAAGTGTCACAGGATGAAGGAAAATACAAGCATACTCTATGTGTAGGCAAAGCCATCAGAATGCTAGTCAAAAGAAGACTGGATTGGAAGCGGCCCCGTGAGATCTTCCTGCTGAAAGTTTGGGATGTGGAGATGAAAATAGGATCCACTCCTTCCAGTCTTCTTCCAGATGCAACTATACCTCTCACTGATGATTGTCGCCGAGGAATCCCCAATCTTCATGCCACTAGTTTCTCCCAGTTCATGTACACCTTATGAGAAGGATTCTTGTGAGACTTTTGGATAAAGATTGTCTCATTCAATTGTCTATTCATGATTCAGAGATAGCAACAGGAACCCGCCAAGAATTAACATCAGTCTGGTGATTTTTTCCCCCTCACATCACTTGTATCAGGTATGACCAATTAGAAGTATTCTCTTAATAGAATAACAGAGTTGGAAGGGACATTGGAGGTCTTCTAATCCAACCCCCTGCTCAGGCAGGAAACCCTGTACCATTTCAGACAAAGAGCTCTCCAATCTCTTCTTTAAAAACCTCCAGTTTTTAAAGACAATCATGGAGCACACACAGCTTCTAAAGGCAAGTTGTTCCATTGATTAATTGTTCTAACTGCCAGGAAATTTCTCCTTAGTTCAAGGTTGCTTCTCTCCTTGATTAGCTTCTGTCCTTTGCTTCTTCTCCTGCCCTCAGGTGCTTTGGAGAATAGCTTGACTTCTTTGTGGCAACCCGTGAGATATTGGAACACTGCTATCATGTCACCCCTAGTCCTTCTTTTCATCAAAATAGACATACCCAATTCCTGCAACCGTTCCTCATGTATTTTAGCCTCCAGTTGTCTAATCTAATCTAATCTAATCTAATCTAATCTAATCTAATCTAATCTAATCTAATCTAATCCAGTTGTCTAAAAAGAGCCTGAGTGGCACAGCAGACTAATGCTACTGTTAAAGGTAGTATTTAGCTTCCCGCTGCCTGCAATTACTGCGAGTTCAATTCTCACCAGGTTCAAGGTTGACTCAGCCTTCCATCCTTTCTAAGGTAGGTCAAATGAGGACCCGGTTTGTGGGGGCAATAAGCTGACTTTGTATAAAATATAC